GCCATCAAGTTGGTCCCCAGTTCATGGTGACATCATGCACAAAGAGATCAGATCACTGTGATCCAAAAGATTTTTATGGCTGATTTTTTGGAAACAGATCACCAGGACTTTATTCCCACTCCATGTAGAAGCTCCGCTGAGACCTGTTCAGCATCATAGCCACACATTAAGCTCCACTGACCGACATGCGCTGGCTGCACTTGAGGTGCACTGGCTGGGAAATGAACCCAGTTCTCCAGCACGGAAGGCAAAAATTCTACCACAGAACCATCGCTGCTGTAAGGGTTGACTAGTGTCCTCAAAACATTCATGGTCACCTAGAAGCTCAGAATGTGACCATAATTGGAAATAGGGCCTTCACAGACATAAAGCTAATGAAATCATCCTGTCATTTCCAATGACAGTGTCCTCTTAAGAACAGAAAAGGACACATAGAGACTCAAGGACAACAATCATGTGACAATGACAGCAGAGATTGGAGGTATGTAATCAAAGCCAAGAAAAGCCGGGATCTACCAGAAGCTGAAAGAGAAAAGGACGGATTCTCCCCTAAAGCTTTAGGAGAGACTGTGGCCCTGAAGACAACTTGGTTTCAGATTTCTGGCCTCCTGAGCTATGAGAAAATAAATTTCTGTTGTTTTAGACCACCCAAGTGGTAATTATTTGTTATGGCTACCCTAGGTACTACAATGTCTTAAAATTAATAGCCAGTGGTTTTTTGTTTCTTAGTATTGTATTTTAAATATGGGGGGAAATGGCATCTCTGCCCTCTCTTTCTCCTCTGCAAGTACAGAGTTCATCATGGCATATATGATACACACACATCGTACACACATCTGGCAGTAACAAGCATAGAGGGGCAAGGCAAGAGTAGCACTGGCTGTGATGGTAAAGGTTGTGTGTCAACTTGGCTGGGCCATGATTCGCAGTGGTTTGCCAGTTATACAATGGTATAATTTGGCAACTATGTAGTGAGGTAGTTTGGTAGTTATGTAGTGATGTCATTTGGCAGTTAAACAATGATGTGACTTGACAGTTATGTAATGATGTAGTCACCCTCATTTTGTGATCTGATGTGGTCATCCTCCATTTTTGCATAATACAGATGTTCATATAATAACCTGGTGGTCACTGGAAACTATCCCTGTCAGTAAATGAAGAGAGAGAGAGGGTGTATAGCATACATATGTATCATACATATATATATCATATACACAACTGTGTATCTACTATCAATGGAGGTTGGATATGATTCAACGTGGCACTCTGAGTTCATCCATGCATTACACATGAGCATGTGTGCGTTAGAGGTACTTAGAAGCAGTTACCTCATGTATGCTATCCTCTTTTTAGTGCCATGTCCAAGGAGACACTTAAATGCCTTACAATGGGGGGACTGCTGAGTGCTGAAAGCAGTTGCTGAATGTTGCTCGTGGCAACATCAGTGATAGCCAGCTAACTCTGCTCTACATGGTGTCTGCTGTGGTTGTTGATCTAATTAGCTATCCATCCAGAAAGAAAGGGCAGTAGTAGCAGCTTCCATCCATTTCCCATAGATTTCTTTCAAGTGCAATGATATAGGCATCTTTTATTCATGGTAGCAGCTCCTGCCTTATAATCCAGCTCAACTGAACACACACTGCAAACTTCCTTTTGAAGCTAATGTTCCAAATCTTTAGCTTTTTTATCTGTAACATAAAGAAGCAAACAAAAAGACTATACAATCAAGGAGAAAGGACAATGCCTCAAGAGCTGAGTTAAGGAACCATGTGTTATATAGGAATCTGCTAAAATTGAGAGTTCCTGGTACATGGAACACATTTGTCATCCAGTACTGTTTTCCATTTTCACACTGAAAAACCACACCAGGTACCATGGTAACCAAGGACCTCTTTACCTGTGTCGGGGGACAACTCGTCCAGCAGCTCCACCATTCCTTCTCCTTGCTTGGACGTCCACATCTTGATGGGGGACCCACCACCAATCTTCCGATACTGCTCTTGGATTCTGGGGGTTCGGCGTTTGGCAATGATTGGTGCCAGCTTACTAAATCATTTAACATGTAGGTAAGTTGATTTTATTCCACCTGAGCAACCTGAGAAACATTTTCTACTCAATAAAAAAGAGATAAGCAGAATTTTAAGAAGAGCCTACCAAGATCATGACTTTAAAAATAAAAGCTTGAGGTCACTGGCAACACCCAGCTCTTTGGTCCAGATTAGAGAGAGCTGGACACTCCTGAGGACTATGTACCCCTGCTCCCCAAGTTGTTCTGGAGCACACCCCAAGGATGAGTGGCATCAAACACCCATGCCAACAGCCCTAGCTAGTACCTGTAGACCCTATGTCTAGCAGGAACCAGGATATAAAATATACGAAGCATACATTCCTCTTAGTTTAAAAAAAATGCATCGACTCCTACAGACATATTTGCATTCATGAGTAAAGGGGTGTGTATAAGAGTGTTCATTGCAACCATGTGAGCAACCTGAACACCTATCAGTGAAACACTGTCTACATAAATTAAGGTACAACACCACAAAGCATATATAGTCATAAAAAAAATTAGTCAGATCTATGTAATGTTATAGGACAATCCCCAAGATACATGGCTTATTTTACAAAAATAAACAGCAAAATACCCAACAATGTGTAGAGTACATTCACATTTGTGTAAAAAGAGTGGGGGCACACACACAGATGAAGTCTCTGGGCAGTGCACACAGGTAATGCACTTGCTGGGGAAGATTGGGGGTGCGAGTCTAGCCAGAGATGCCTTAGAAAAAAGCCTTAGAAAATCAGCTATTAAAAACCCTACAGAGCACAGAGCTACTCCGACACACAACGGGATCACATGTGGTTCTGGTCTGTGAGTGTGTGTGGATATGCACAAACCACTGCTGCAAGTAACAAGGCTTGCCTCTGGGCTGGGTAACCAGACATGAGTCCAAGGTGAAAGGGATACTTGTTTTTAACTGCAAACACTTTCACGCTACTTACATTTTTCATCATATGCATGTGTTAATTTTTCATTGGAAAAGTCTATTTTAAAAGAGAAAAGGAAAAAGGGAAAGAAGACCCCTGAGACCAGGGCCTCGAGACAACCTTCAAGCCCAGAACTGAACCCACTCCTACGGATCACCTTCCAGCCAAACAACAGACAGATATATAAAGTGAACAGCAGTGACGAATGTGCTCCTCAGAACAGTCAACCATATGTAACCAAAAGCCCAAAAACAAAGTTCAGAAGACGGGAAGGGGCAGGACAGATGGGCGAATGGAAACAGGGAACCCAGGGAAAGGAGGTGCTGCCACACTGAGGGGACTGCAACTAATGTTATGAAACAGAATGTGAATAAACTGTTGAACAGGAAACTAATTTGCTCTGTAAACTTTCACCCGAATAACAATTAAACATTAAAAATAAAAAGTGAGGGGAAGAGAGAAGAACAAGAGGAAGAGAGGAAAGACAGTATTATTCACTGTACAAATGAAAATAACCGATGTTTCAGTGAACGTTAATCAGATGCTAACTGCAGAGCATAAATATATCCTTTAAGGTATTTTGGCTGTGCTAGGCCCCAGGGCTCTAGGAGGAAAGGGGTCAGGCAGCATCCTCACTAACTTGCTTTCTCTCTCCTCCGCAAGTCTTCCAATATCATATCCTTCTAAGAGCTAACAATTTTTTTTTCTTAATTGTGCTTTGAATGCAAATTTACAGAGCAAATTTTTTTTACATTCAACAGTTCATGCGCATTTGATTTCATGCCCCGATTACCATCCCCAACCCTACTCTACTCTCCTCCTCTCCCTTCCCTGTGACCCCCTACTCCCTGTGCCCTTCTTAACTATGTATTCTTTCCCTCTATGTGAATGGTGCCCCTCTGGTACCCCACGGCTGATTGCTCAAAGGGGTTTTATCTCCCCGGAGTAAGTAGGTGGGTGCATCACCCTGGGTTGGGTGTTCTGCATGTAACTCTTTCTACTGTTGCACTGAGAGCCAATCCTTGGGAGTAAGTCCCATCCCAGACCCAAAGGGTATACCAGGGCCATAGTCTTGGAGGTCCCACCAGACTCCACCTGACCAGTAATTCTGGTCATTATTGTGTTTTTGAATTTTGTTCCACATTTTTCCTCCCACTCTATCCAGAATCTCCAGTTTTGGTCCCTTCCCAAGTAGTTGGCATTGGTATCTGGGCACCATCTAGTTCTTCTGGTCTCGAGGTCCATCACAGTCTTGGACTAATTGTTTCCAAATGGCCTTGATTTTCTTCACTGTTCTTC